GATGCCAGAGGCTAACTTTTGAAACTGATTTGACTATGATTGTAATTTTATAAAGTCCGCCTCACTCTTTCTAAAACCTAATTTCCTTAAAATAGTGAGGTTTGTTTGGAAATTCTTATATGTATACTATCTTTGACTTTGACTTTACCTTAATTACTTTCTTAATCCCTATTTATTTCTAAACAAGTCTCCACGTCACCAACCCCTGTTTGGGACAGTGACAGTCACTAACCTCCGGCGCCATGGAATTCCACAACCATGACATAATCACAGCATCCCATTCTTGCAATTTAAGATCTTTTGGTTGCTCTCGTCCCCAAAAGATGGCTGAGTTCGCCCTTTCCTTTGAGAAAGGTTCGAACCAATTGCGACCACTTCAAAAAATTCCATCCATTCAACCAATAGGCCCTTTCCTTTGAGAAAGGTTCGAATGAGTAACCTATACCTGTGCTTCTTCGAATTGTGCTGTGGTTATGTTTTCTACAGTTTCAGACATGATGATGAAAGATTAACAGGACCAACGACTCAGGAAAAAACAACAATTAAGGTCGTTAGAAAAAGAGTTTATGAAGGCTATGAAGGTTGATACACGACAATGAAGGCCAGCAGAAAGAAGACTGAATTGGCTGAATAAAAACTTTGCAAAATACTCTGTTTTTGAACTCAAAAACAGGGTAAAACGGGGCACAAAGAAACAACAATATATCCCTGGAGATGAAGGTCAAAGGTATATATCCCTGGAGATGAAGGCCAAAGGTTTTAATCCTAGAGAGAACTTAAGCTCTAATACCATGATGTAAAATAGAGAAGAATGATAGTAATTCTCATTGATTAGATTAGAATGGTACATAACAATATATAGAATATTCTAGGATACAAAATAGGAAACTAACCAACTAAATCAAGAAAATACCTAAAGCTATCAATCCCATGATTCAAGGGATCGGAGTCAACTTTCCAAAGTCAAACTTCCTAGAATAACTGATTCTATACAGCCTATATACAGAGCTCAATTACAGTCGTAATTTACTCTATAAAGATTTGATTACAGGTATACAATTCAACAGTTGGCTTCTTAACCTTATCTACAACATCATATAATTCTTAAGTAAATGCTAAGTAAGAACACTTCCCTATCTCACAAAACACAATTTGAGTTTTCAATGAAAACAAAACATAATCATCAGTCATATTCATAGCAGTGCATGAGACACGCATGTAGGTATAACATATCTTTTCATTATATTCATTATTCATTTTATCTTTCGGGGTCCCAAGCGTTACACCATTAACATTATTAACGCGCCGTCACGAGGAGTGAGGTAGCTAATCCCAAACAAAACATGACAAGTCAACCTTGTGAGATAGTCCACCTAGCAGGACAAACATAAATATAGGGTTTGTGAAACATATATTTATACATATTTATAAGCTTTCATAAAACTCTTCACAAGTAAAATCATAGAAATTGGGAAAAAAATATTCGTTTACTCATTCTTATTCTAACTAAAATGCTTTATAAGAGAAACGCTTAAAAAAACTTAATATCATTAGAAATCATTTCTCAAATGTTTTTCATAATTAATTATCATGTTACAGGTGAGAATGTACTTACTTGATGCGTTGTTTACCTATCCTATGAATCATGGTGATGGAACGCATTGGGAATGCATTGTGCTTGCCTCTTGGAGAATTCATGTCAAAAGAAAATATCCATATATTAAAAAAAAATTAATAACTCGTATATCAACAGTGTCCGAACACTCTTAACATCAAACGACATCTATTCAACATTCATTTAATCAATCAACGTCATATATTTTTTTTTAATCTAGAATCACATTCTAGATCTAGAAGCACCAGTTCGTGCTTGGGAGGACATTCTTATACCTAATACCAGGAAAGGGAGGGATAGACCAAGAATTACGTGGACTAAAGTAGTTAGGAATGACATTCTAGATCTAGGCCTTCAAAAAAGTCTAATATCGAACAGAGCTGCGTGGAAAAGTGAAATTCATATAGCCGACTCCAATTAAGTTGGGAATAAGGCTTGTTGTTGTTGTTGTTGTTGTAATCTAGAATCACATTCACTAGTATAAACAGCTCTTATACCTAATACTAGGAGAGGGAGGGGTAGACCAAGAATTACATGGACTGAAGTAGTTAGGAATGACATTCTAGATCTAGACCTTCAAAAAAGTCTAATTTCGAACAGAGCAGCATGGAAAAGTAAAATTCATATAGCCGACTCCAATTAAGTTAGGAATAAGGCTTGTTGTTGTTGTTGTAATCTAGAATCACATTCACTAGTATAAACAGCCAGACCTATGCTGCTTCAAAAATTCATAACAAGTTTATTAAAAATCACATTAAGCTAAAACTGGTGGCATTAGAAACTAGACATCCTAAGCTTTCCAATGGTATATCATATGCATAATTTCAAATTTATTTGACCTCTGAAAACAGACTTCAAAATCAGTGCATAAATTCTAAAATAATTACAATAATACTACATGTTCATGTTTAATCAAGAAATCACATTTAATCATCATCCAAATTATCATTAATCAAATAAAAAAATAAACATAAACATAAGTTCCTAACATGTTTGTAAACTCATAAATTCATGAAACAACTGTTATAATTCAATAATAGGGCATAAACATGTTACTGGTAACATTCAAATAAAATAGCAATAGGAACCTAAAACAGATTAATCACACAAATTATAAACTATCTCACGTATAGACACCTATATATATATATCACATACATAAGTACCACCCTCAAGAATAGCAGCACTTAGACGTAACAGATCACATAATTGATAAAATCATACTATTAAATATAATTCCATTATCACGTTTTCAATGAAATTATATATATTTATGAACATATCACATTCACTCACATAAATGAACGCGCACACACCCACAATACATATATATAATCATACATATACATACATATAGATACAACAATCTGTGCAATATCTCAAAGCCATCATCATAGTTATTATTCAAGAAAACCAACGTAGAACATTCTCATGAAAGAAAGGAAAATATATATGTATCAACATCTTCACATATATAATTGTGTGTGTATATATATTATATATACATACATGTGTCCAGAAATCATCTATTCATACAATAACATATATCCATAATCGTTCTCATCAAAAATTCATCCCTGGCCGCCATTATCAATGTATAGAAACATTACAATCCCAAGAACGTACCTTTTTAGTTCTTGTCTGGTGTGGGCGTCGATGCAAGAAAGAGTGAGATGAAGATATATGTGAAGGAAGATAGGGCTGAGAGAATTTTATCGTGAGAATTTATTTTTTTATTTTTTATTTTTGTATATGGAGTGAGTGGTCAGATAGTTTCTGATTTGAGTCTACCAATCACGATTGGCACATTTAATAAGAGAATATCAAGTCAAATGCTAGTGTGAAAGGAATAAGAGAAATAGAAATTCAGAATTTAAGCTCTGAATGAAAATTAAGGCACATCTCCATCAAATAAACTTCCCATAAATCATATATAAAATTCCTAAACCATTATCAATCAATATCATATGCTAATAATCACATTAGCAACAAGAAATCATGAGATTGGCATGTAATTAATATTTGCATTGTAACATAAATCATAAAATAAAATCATATGGGAATAGTAAACAAAATATTGTGATTATAATATAATATAATATAGCATCGTTTCATCATTATAATTAAATAATAATGCACCATAATATATAACTTCTACCATTATGCATTATTATTGAATTTTCCCATAATAAAAATACACAATTTTTTTTTTGGAAATTCTCGCGAGCACATCGATCCCTTTGTTACCGTCACTTGCAATACAACTCAACACAAACGTTAGTTTACTTAACATAAATTTCATAAAATAACATTATTGTCTCACAAAATCATTAAGTTCCTTTTTTATCTGTTAAAGTAAATGGCGGGCATTACACATTTTGCACATATAAATAATCAGCTTTATGTACATTTTCAAAATTATCTGTAAATATTTTTTTTCTGGCTCAAAGATGAGCTACATGGTGTTTTTTATTTTTTATTTTTTTATGAGCTAACGTGGTTGTTCTTGCTTTTTTAGCTATATAAATAACCTAATTATATACTTCATTTTGTACATGCGCTTATACTAGGAGGAACCCAAACCACCTCAACAACAGCCACGCCTTAAAGAAAGCAAAACAAGAGTTGGACATCCAAGTATAGAGAATCCTTGTTACTAACAAGGTAGGTGTATCTGAAAAACTTTGAAGCACATCAAACTAGTAAGCAAAAAACTCACAGAATCGTCTATTACTAAAACGAAATCAGCCTCAAAAAGCCTAATTTATTAGAAAACAAACCCAATGCAGAAAGTAAATAAATCCCCCAAACTAAAAGAAAATTTAGGATAAATCACGTTGAAACCTTCTCCGGGACGAAGAGAACAAGTATTTCTGAAAACGTATGGAAAAATGCACCATTTTGACAAAATACAGGGGTGATGAAATAATGATTCCTGATTTTAAAGGCAAGCTTGAACAACACATTAATTAATTAATTAAATAGGTAACTGGATAAATAAATAAATAGATAAATAAGCAAATAAATAAATGAATAGGAATGTGAAATAGAAAATTGACAATGTACCAAACTAAGCGCAAATTCTTCACCCGACCATGCTCATAACCTAATAAATTAGCAAATAAAATTACTAAGGTCACGTTTATTTCACCGATTCGAGTTTAAAATTCTAGTTTTATTACAGTAAAAAGCTCTCAGAAACATTCATATTTAATTTTTTTACTACAGTAAAAAGCTCACATAAGTCACATCTCAACTCAAATTGAAAACTCCAATCAGCGAACTAAACGAGCCCTAAGTTTCATTTTCTGTAAGGTAAGTGAGCAGGAACAAGATTTTCTCAGAAACCAAACAGTAGAAAGAAAGGAAAGGAAAACCTTGCAAAGCGTGTGTTCGATAGTTTGTTGAGAAACACGAGCAACCATGAGAGTGCAGTAAGGATCACCGAGAGCATCATCTGCGAAAGAGAGAATTTTACATTTTGGTAAGGAACTAAACGACGTTTAGAGAGAAACGACAGAAAAAGAGAGAGAAACGAAAGACAAGACAAGTGGAGGAATAGAGATGGGTGTGATAGACGACATTGTCGTGAGAAAGTTGGTGTCGTCGATGCTTCCTGCTCGGATCAAATGGTACATCTCTGCATAGAACATTGCGTTTACTTTGTCCCTGCTCTCCAATTAGCAAATGAAATTACTAAGTTTCATTTTCTTTTAGGTAAGTGAGCAGGAACAAGATTTTCTCAGAAACCAAACAGTAGAAAGAAAGGAAAGGAAACCTTGCAAAGCGTGTGTTCGAAGTTTGTTGAGAAACAAACGCGAGCAACCATGCGAGTGCAATAAGGATCACCGAGGAGGTTAGCATCACCGAGAGCATCATCTGCAAAAGAGAGAATTTTACATTTTGGTAAGGAACTAAACGACGTTTAGAGAGAAACGACAAAAAAAGAGAGAAACGAAAGACAAGACAAGTGGAGGAATAGAGATGGGCGTGATAGATGACATTGTCATGAGAAAGTTGGTGCCATCGGTGTTTCTTGCTCGGATCAGATGGTACATCTGCATAGAACATTGCGTTTACTTTGTCCCTGCTCCCCCAATCCCATTTTATACACATCTTGCAGTTATAAAAATCAAGAAACTCATGCAGGAATGACATGTAGAACGACAAAAAAAGAGAGAAACGAAAGACAAGACAAGTGGAGGAATAGAGATGGGCGTGATAGATGACATTGTCATGAGAAAGTTGGTGCCATCGGTGTTTCCTGCTCAGATCAGATGGTACATCTGCATAGAACATTGCGTTTACTTTGTCCCTGCTCCCCCAATCCCATTTTATACACATCTTGCAGTTATAAAAATCAAGAAACTCATGCAGGAATGACATGTAGCAATAAAGACAGGGTAAACACGATTACAAAGTAAACATAGGCAAGCAATGCGAGTAAAATGGTGATAGTCTCCCAATAACCTCAGTCAGAAAAAACCTGCAATAGCATAGGTTCCTAAGAATAGTCCTTAAAATTAACAATCTGGATTTTAAATGTACAAGGAACAAAATTAAAAGCTTTGAAAAAGAAAACCTCCACAAACTGATCCAAAAATACATAAATAAATAAATAAGAGTTTAACTGAATAATCTACTAAAAAGCACAAATGAAACATATAAAAGTTTCATAGCAAAGAATCCGGCCGCATTTTCAAGGCAATCACCTTTTTTCTATCAATGTTAGTACAATAAATAGTTCTTCCATACATCTTACGCTAGAAAACTTCAATTGGTATATAAAGAACTAATTAAAAGGCTGATGACAACCCCTACTTGCAAAAGGTATATTTCTTTTGCAATCAACCAGTTGATCTGGTTCTAGAAATCGTTGAAGCATATCATTCCATTCCAAATCAAACATAATACTAACATTCAGCCTAGACTTAAGGCAAATGAAACAAATGACAATTAAGAAGATAGATTAGACTGGACAAATCATTAGGAACACAGTAAGAAAAATGAAGCAATCAAAAAGGGAAATAAATTGTAAAATAAGATCATAACTAAATCCCTGCATTAATGAAATTTATTTCAATTGCATTAATGAAAGGAATATCAGACGTAACAGAATGTCTAAAAATTTACACTTATTAACAATTTATACCAAGTAAAAAAAAAATGTGTTAAATCACCATACAGTTTATTTTGGTGATATCAATTTATTAGTATAAATATCAACCGAACTTATTACTATTTTCTCACACTGACCTTTTATTACTATTATCTTAAATAGATCTTTCACCAGGCCCACACCTTTTTTTTTAATAAGAAAAAACACTTCATATTGTTAAGAATCAAGTACAACGCTTAAGAGGGCCAGAGGTCAGCAAAGAGCAAAACAAAAAAGATAGAAAAAGTTTAATGATCAATTGCATCCATCCAATTGATGATATGCAAAGTAAAGGAGAATCCTTATCAGGCCTACTTCTCATAAAGTCAGGAATTTATCTAACATTGTTTATAACTTTTCACTAATATCCATGGGCTAAAAGCATTTCCAATCCTTGAACTAATAATATTTTTGTTATATGAATGCTCATCATTAAAGCCTTGAGTTCATCAGAGCTAGCTTTTCTTTTGATAGACGAGCTATTAGTGATAGCTAGTAAACAAGATAGAAAAAGAGTGGCCATTTGTTCAGCTTCCTAAACAGCTACTCTCCCTTTGAGAACGGGATGACTATGGGTGAAAACCAAACAATGTTCCCAAAAGCAGACAAATGTCAAATTTAATTGAATTATCAGAACAATCATAAAAAACTCAACTCCAAAAAATAAATCCTCATCCAGCCAAATAAACACACTAAACAATTCATCAAGAGTAAGGAAGATTACAATGCAAGGGAAATACCCATGATATTTGGCGGGATTGAGGAACAAAGAATCTGTATTGTTTGGGTACAGTCTGAACCGAAAACTAATAAAACTGAAGATGGGTGATGAGTGTGAGTGATTATTGCCCTCTTCTTCTCGTCATGTCAATTTCTATTCTCTTTTTTTTTTTTGACCTGCATCAAAGGGAAAAGGGGTTACAGATGAGTAAACATCAAAAATCCCCAAAAAAAAGATTTTTTTTTCTGTGAAAAGAGCAACAATTTTATGGCAAAGAATCACATCCACACAACAATTACTCTGATAATGGTCTCTCTCACATGCCCGAATTGATGGCTCTTTGTTTATCCGAATGCATAGAGGGAGAGCACAAACAAAAGGTAGAGAGAGGTGAAACAAAAGGAAAGATGAAAAAGTTGGAGGAGAAAAGAAGGAAAAAAAAAGACGACGTTAGAAAGGAAAGAGAAAAAACAAAAAATAAGAGCACAAAAGGAATGAAGCTGGTTCTGAAACAGTAAGTAAAAGAACTGAGATTTATCATAGAATAACCATAACCATTATTTCCATCTTTAGTGCAATCTTCCCTTCAATATTAAGTTGCTAAATAGTAAGATTCTGGCAGAAAAAACTCACATAATTTAAAGATTAACTGAGTAAGATCTCTAAATTGATAAAATAAGAGAGAGAGAGAGAGAGAGAGAGAGAGACAAAAAAACTCACCATGGCTGAATGGACCCTCAGGTGCTGTAGAAGATTAAGTTGCTAAATAGTAAGATTCTGGCAGAAAAAACTCACATAATTTAAAGATTAACTGAGTAAGATCTCTAAATTGATAAAATAAGAGAGAGAGAGAGAGAGAGAGAGAGAGAGAGAGAGAAAAACTCACCATGGCTGAATGGACCCTCAGGTGCTGTAGAAGGAGTTAAGGCTTGTTCATGACTCAACCTAATCAGCGCCCAAAACTAACAAAATAAACCCAGTAATAGAAAAGAGACACAAAAGAATTATGAGATAGATAAGGTAGCGCCTCACCAAAGAAGAGCATGAGAGGCATTTAAGATTAGGGCAAACAAAGATAGAAGATATATAAAATGTCGAACATAATGTTCCTCTAAAATCATGACAAAAGCATCCATAAGGATAGATAAAAATCCTCTAAAATCAAGTACTAGAAACCTGAAAGTTCTAAAATAAGGGTAAAAGATAGATAAAAGCACTATTCCAAAGGAGATGAGTCACCAAAAGGAGGTTCATACTGTGGGAACATAGACTTCACAAAGTTCTTAAGGTTATCGATCAGCATTCTGTAGAGTTTTGAAGGTCTCAAGCATGTGTTCTTGACTTTGAGTAGAGAAATAACCATTTTCTGTGCTCCTCCTTCTCGAACCCCCTCTTAGTGCTTGGCCCGCTCCCCATATGTATCCCGATCATGTGCCAAGGACATTATTTATTATATCTTTTTATGTCATTAATGTGGGCTGTGTAGAGGTATTTCCCTCAACTACGTCACATGAATAACCAGTTTGAGTTTGCAAATCTATCATCTTGTGCTGTCAATTGAAAATGAACAAGTGAAAAGAAAAAACTAACGAATACTGAATTATAAACACAAAAATATAAATAAATAAATAAATAAAAACTTGCATAATTCTCCTCTGGTACTGTCCCAGTCCAACCCTTAGTCTTGTGATGGCACATGTCATGACAGAGCTCAATTAGTCTACTAGAATTATCAAGCTCGTTTGCAATTGCTGCAAACGAACACAATCTTAATATTAGAGGTAGTGATGTGTTATCTCCAATAATTCATAGTCATGAAAGCAAAACCACCAAATGGAGCCAAGGCACTAAGCGAAATACTTCCTTTTCTCAAGGAGCGCCACTACATAACATGTCCCAAAGAATGCTGTAAAAATGGTCAGCAGAGATTGAGTTTTACCACAAGCATTAAAATGTCTAATTCTTAGATAAAGAATGTTGTAAAAATGGTTAGTAGAGATTGAGTTTTACCGCAAGCATTAAAATGCCTGATTCTTATATAAAGACATCTTCTTTGCTTTAAAGTACTGCATATAATTAAATTCTTTTAATTGATATCAGACAAGCTAAATAATTGCATTAAACATAAAATAGAATACCAATCTACTCATTACAGTTTCAAAATTGTCATACCAACCCATTTTTTTTATTAATAAATGAATAGGAGAAAATCATAAATATTGATCCAAAGAGTCAATAAACTCCAATCACAAAGCACAGTCACAAGATTTTGTCCACGGGGAAATCTCATTTTCATCCATATTTCTTTTGTTAAGGCCAAATAAGAGAAAAGACTAAATGGCATTAGCATATCATAACTACTACCTAAAGGATCATCAAAAGTGATTTTATACTTTATTCTCTACAAAGTAAAGTGGATGTATGTATGTATATATAGATTAGTATGTGATAACTAAAGTGAAAGAGCAACTCAAAAAGACAAGAAATCACAGAAACCATCATGGGGAGCTCTATTTTTCTACTAATGATATAAATTTAAACACAACCATAGCAAAATCAAAATGAAATACCTTATCAAACACGTGAGAAGCAAATGATTTAGCTCATTGAATGCTGATTCAAAGCATTGGTTGCTGATTTTTTCTGCAAAGTTAAAAAGGAGTTGTTACAGAACCTATAAATCACATAAAAAAATGTATGAATGCTCTGAAGGTATTTACATAACTTACCTTATACTTTTCAGTCGACCAATAGTCGCATGACGAATCCCAACCTGCCAGCACCAGAACCTGTTTGTGTTTGTGTTTTTTGACTTCCTCTTATCCACACTTTTTTGTATGAAATATTTGTGCAGCCGACACCTCCAATCTTTCAATTGCTTGTTTAACAGACGGTCGATGGAATCTAATATCTTGGCCTTTTTTTCTCAATCAGGCTCATTCCGTTCAAACTTATCCTGCAACAATAATATCCAAAATAGGACTATAATTCAACAAGACTTTCTGTTGAACGAAATTAGGTGGTTCTATATTATTACCTTGAGTCTAGCAGCACCACATTGTTTGGTTGTGGAATATCCCTCCAAGCCTTGACTTGGAGTAGGGTCATGTGGCGCGCAATCCAACCTACCAACCTAACTCAGATGCCCACCTTTCGTCAACTTTTCCTACCCCTTTATATGTATTAGGAAAAAAATTCTGGAGTCATTTTTCCAGAGCAACTAAATAAAAAATAAACAACTGACTTAACATAAATTCAGCAATTCACATCAAACATCTGTAACTGACATAAATCATGACAAAATCAGATTCTGTATCACTTGCATTTTCCAACATCATCAACATAATTTCGGGCTCTTTCAAGAAATGTTGCAACCCCATTCATGTACTCATCCGACAAACAATTGGGCAACATAATCCAGCTCTTGTTAACTGACATGTTTCCTAATCACCAGAATTAATGAAATTAAGATAAAAAATATCTTAAAACCATAATGATAAACATATTAAGTGTTTTAAGGTATAACATAATATTAAACAAACAGAGAAAATGAAACAAACAAGCAAGAAGTCATGACCACATTAAAGATTTATACAAGCAAGAAGTCATGAACACATTAAAGATTTATATAAGCAAATATAGAGAAAATGAAAATGAATCACAACTGATTGTACAATGAAAACTTTCAATTCATACAGCAATAAACATGTTGGAATAAAACATAGCAACATGGAGCAATAGCACAATACATGAATTAATTAGAAAGAGGTTCACATAAACCTAAGACCTGGAGCAATTATCAAAAACAGATTATCAGAAATAGTGAAGCTCTGTAAACCAACTGCCAATTGAATAAACAATCTGGATTCTTGAGAAATAAAAATAGAAACTCGACAATCAAAAGATTGCAGTGTAATTTGGATTGCGTACCTTAGAAGAGAGGATGAACAACGAATTCGGGTATCTATGTCGAATATTGCCGTTGGCAACGCAAGTCTCGCAGTGCAACCCTGTGTCACAGCCATTGTCCTTCAACCAAGTATCCCTAATGGTGAAAGTTGATGTTGAGGTGACCGTCAGACACGGTGAATCGGCAGAAAAAGGAATGCCCGTTGGGGAGATTGATGGGTTTACTTGTATCCCTAAGGTTGCTTATTATTTTAACTAATCAAATACTCTCTAGGTTCTTCAACCAATGAAAACCCGAACAATACCAAATACGACAAGGCTTTTCAAATTCTCACAAGACAACGAAGAAGGAATATGAAACCGCCTAGTTTCCCTCCTATTTCGTGGCTTTCCCTCGGAGAATGAAGGCATACAATTTGAATGAATTGAAAGAAAAAATCCCTATTTCAAACTCAACTAAATTCAAATCAAACCCTAATTTTACTATCCAGATTAAAAAATGCACTTCATTTTTTCCTTCCTTTTGGTTCCTCTTGATAGACGCATATCTATGGGGCAAAAAAAGTGAGTCCTTATGATGAAAACCACCATAAGATAGCATATTTCTCATGAAAACAACAACAACAAAAGTATTTAAGCTAGAAATACCTATACTAGCAAACAAAATTCTCAAAATAAGTTGCTAACTACACCTTCTTTGATATCACTTTCAGTTTTTGTTTTCTGAGTTAAAAGTGAAATATCTCAAGCCAAACTTTGAAAAGATCTTCTCCCTTTATTATTTCACTTTTTGTTGATGAGAAAATGAAAATCGCAAAAATTATCAAACAAGTTCAATTTTAATAAGGGTTACTTTCATACATAATATTCCCATTATTTTACAAATCCTCTTTAATGTTTTACGAACCGTATCAAAATAGTCGCCTAAATTTTACAAATCATGTTAAAATCTTTCCCATAATTATGGTTGAAAATCTTGGGAGAAGATATACGTTTCTGATAAATTGGGATAAACATAAAAGAACAAAGGAGATTTTTGTTACTATCCTCAAAATCCAATAATCACTAAAACAATAAGCAAATAATTGAACTTAGTAGAACAAATAATTTTTCCTAATTTCCATAAATGAAATGAAAAAACATCCATAGAACTGAGGACAGAGTAAATATACCTACACGAGAATTGATTGTGAAGTTATTCCCTCTCACTTTATTACCACAAACGGCACAAGTTACCTCCTCACTCACGTCAGAATGCTCTTCTCTACCTCCAAAACTCTCAACTTTATCCTTTTCACCACAAACCACCATTGCAGATCCTTCCGAACACTGTGTCGAAACGATTTTGCCATCTTTATCAGTACACATATTCAACAAACTCTGCAACCAAAAAACAAAAAAGAAATTGCCCTCATTGCAATAAAAATCTAGTCTTGACAATGATTTCGTCGGAAAGTTTTCGAAAGAGACACGGAAATCGAAGAGAGAAAAAGCGAGAATGCTTGGATCGGATAAGAAGATAGAAGAGTTTCGCGGTTGGGAAGGAATCGCCTGCGTTTGCCGACCAATCGGAGCACTTTCAGAGAAATTGTAAAGTTTGCTCCAATTTTGCCCTAGCAGAACTTGAGATTTTGGGCCATCTGTCTCCGCAGATTTTGGACACCAGATTCGCAGGTTCCAATTACGAAGTTCCCGGAACCGTCTCCGTGCTCAGCTTTCTCTTAAAAGGGTTCGACGACGGCGGTTGTGGCAGGAGCGGGCTCTTCAACTTGGCGGCAGAGATTTCCGGCGACTGCTCCGGAATCGGGGGCAAAAAGTTCGGATCCGATGGCGGAGCGTTCTCCTTGGAGCCCCTCTGCTTCCACGACGGCCGGGGCTTGGCTGTGCTACGGTTGGGCGAGGCCGCAGACTCTATCGTCGTATCCCTCAAGACCGCGTTTCTTGGTTTCATGAAGTGCTTCATGGCTACGAAATCTAGAGAGAGAAATAGAGAAGAAACGGAGGAGAGAGAGAGATTGAGAGGGTTTTGGATTGGAAATGGAAGAGAAGACAAAGGAGCGAGAGAGAAAGGGGAAATGTAGCCGTTGGAGGAGAGAGACTGGGGGAGATATGGGAGATTGAATTTTAGGGTAGAAGCACTGCATAGGGCCTTTTTTTATCGATTGTTTGTGTAAATGAATTTCTGTATTTTTCATTACTAAAACTGATTAACACTGTATATATTTTTTCAAGTCCATTCTCTTAGTTGTTTTGTTTTTTTACCTAAAAGTTTATTTATTTTTTTCATTTTAGTCCTTATCAAAGTGCTCCCCCCTCCTTTTTTTTTCTTTTTTCGAAGCTCATCTTTTTTGTTTTTTTCGTTTTTTACTCTAAAATTTATTTACTTTTCATTTTTAGTCCTTTTTACCATTTCTTTTTTATTTCTATTCCGAAACTTTATTTTATTTATTTCTTTTGGTTTCTTTCTGATAATAGTCTAGAATTTATTTATTCTTTCATTTTAGTCCTTTTTTTATCTTTTTTATCCAAAATTTTATATATTTTTTTGTTTTAGTCCCCTTTGTCTTAAAATTTATTTATTTCCTCATTTTGATCCTTTTTTACCCTTCTTTTTATTTTTCCACTAAAACTTTATTTTTTTTGTTTTAGTTTCTTTTACTTTAAAACTTATTTATTGATTCATTTTAGTCCTTTCTTGATCATTTTTAAATATTTGCCCTTAAAATTTTTTTTTTTTGATGTTTTGGTTTATTCTATCCTAAAACTATATTTATTTTTTTTTATTTTAGTCCTTTTTATCTTTTTTTTGGCTACTTACCCTAAAAATTTATTTTTTTTCCTATTTAAGTTTCTTTTTGAGACTTTATATTCAGATGATATATGCTTTTAATAATAATACGATAATTAGAACTTAATATACAAATTACTCTTGACGTGCGTAGCACGTGATCTTAAACTAATATATTAAGAAAAATTAAAATAACCAATTTGTATAGAAGGAAAGGTATATAGCAAAGTCAAGCCCATATGTTAAAATATTGAGTGCAATTTATATAAAATACCTAAAATTTTCTTCTCTCTTGTAACAGTTCATTTTAAAAATTCATTTGTCAAGAGTTGTATTAAATTTAGTCAGCAATTTTAAATATGTGCCAGTGTTAATTACATACTTTATATTAAATATGAGAAGTTGTATCAAATTTCATTTGTGAACTGAAGAATGTTTTCCTTTTATTATATAGATGGAAAACATTAGGACTATTATGTAGCTTACTCCTCGTTCTAAATCACTCTTTAAAGCACATTTTTGTTTTTTGTTTTTGAAAGAATGTGAGTTTTTGTTTTAGTTTTAGAAAATACTTATAGTAATATTATTTTTTGCTTTTTCATTCAATTTATTATTAATTTTTTTTTTTTTGCTTGTTATAAAAAAAAACAGTTTTTTTCAAGATGAAAATTTCTTGTGTCCTAAAATCAATATCAGGATTGGGGTTGAGGTTGGGGTCAGATTTGGTTAGGGCTCTAGTTTTAATCTTGGCCTCATCCATGTTAGTCTTGACCTTAACCCCAACCTCGACTCCCTATTTATACCCTAATGCCAACCTCGACCTATACTTTCGATCCTCAACCCTGACGTTTGCTGGTTTTAATGCAAAATAATAACAATAATAATAAAAGCAATGAACTCATTAAAAATTTTCAAAAATGAAAGGATTGATTTTTTTGTTGCAAATATTTTTTCGTATTATGACATAATTTATCATGATTGAGAAATTTGTCGAAGAAATTATTGTATAAGATAAAATTTTCTAGAATTCTCTGTATTATAAATATGAATACTTTTATGATAAGTATTTGTTGATATTTATATTTAATAGCAAATAATAAGCTAAAGATCATAAATTTCTAAACTATGATGCAAAGACCGAATTTCAAACTGTAATCAAGGAAGAGGCACGGAATGTTGTGTTATTCCAGCAAGCAGACAAACACATGAATATTAAGTTTAAGAAATGAAAAGAAATTGTAAAACATCAATGCTAGGGTTTTAGAAACAATCAGAATGAAACACGGACGAAAAAAGGGTTCGAAAGGACGCACTGAGAAAATTAAGGTTTTCGACCGATGAGGGTTGACCGAGTCAAAATTTCTTGACCAAGAGTCGACCACTAGGTCACTCTTGAAAAGTTAGTCAAGGTTGAATAAAGTTGACCAAGTTAACCAACTGTCCGAAAAACGCATATTAAGCGTGGACCAAATGAGAATTAAAGTGAACCGAAATAAGATAATTACTAAAAGTGAATGGTTGAGATTTAAGGTGATTAATGGATGGAGGGCTGAGATTAGGACACTTGGAAAGGAAGGATGATGGCCGGCCAACCTTAGGGGAGAAGCAAGCATATATTTTGACTTTTTTTTTTTGCAAAAAGAGACTTTAGAAAATGTCAAAATTGTACCTAGGTCCCCATAACCTTAAGACCGGTTTTATATGGGGAAAAATACAAACCAAATGTTCATTTTTCATGCAAGAAAACCAGAGAGCATTTAGCCAAAGAGAGAAAGAAAATTTTTTTTCCCAAAATGAGAAAAACAAGTTCTAATGGAAATCGGCGAAAAAAATACCGTTGATTTGTGTCACCGCAGCTTTCTCTTCATTTCCCTAGGGTAAAATTTCAATTTTTCTCCTCATTTTCTATTGTAGCTGCACGTCCATGAAAATTAGAAACCATGGAAATTTTTTTTTTTAGGGATGATGATTTGCTTATGGTTATTAAAGGGATAAAAAAACCTAATGACTAAAGGATAAATTTTTTGTTATTAGGTTACATGTTTAGTGTTTTTGTTTATAGAGAATTCTAGTGTAAATGATGATGAAACCCTAGTGTCTATGCTGTTTATGATGATAAAAAGAATGAGAAAGGTTGTGATATGAGTTTGAGAGTTTAAACAAAGGATAAAAAGTGCTATGATTAGCTCGAGAAACACGAAAGATTATGTGGAACTCTGCCAAAATTAAGTTTAAAAAATGTGAACCAACCTTGGTTATAATGAAGAATAAGAGGAATGAGATGTGTAAAATAAGTTGATTAGATGGTTAAAGATGTGTGGAAACCTAAAACGGCGAGAATTCCCAATTTTGAACCAAAATCGAAAACTAGGTTAATGACCCAGAAACTTGTACTGAATATGTTTAGGCTAGAGGACCAAGATAAAAGCTTAATTTTAAAAAGTGACCAACATCAAAGTTGTAGGAAATTTCGTTTCAAACAACTTTTGTGAAATAGCTTTTTCCTAAGTATGCACGGGTTTGGTGCACATTGGTGATATAGGAGATGTTTCGGTCTGGATACTGAACAAGAAAACCGTAGATCACAGTAAGAAACTGATTGTATAGTATTGTCCTAAAGTCAACTGTAAGTAGGTGCAAAACATCATAGTAAGAAAAAAAATGGGACATTAAATAGGTTTATGAAATAAACATAAAACCTAAAGATTTTAGACACGACATGTGCACTTCATGAAAATAACATTTACAGAACAACAAATTCGAGTCAAATTGCATTATAATTACTGGTCTTAGATTGTAAATCTAACGATCGAGAATTTATATCATAGGATCAGTAGACGATCAAAGCGGTAAAGTTTCTGATGACTCAAAAGTCGTGACCTTAGCGGAACTCCTATAAGTACTAGCAGTTCCTTTGTCTATGACATGAACGCGCTTATTTCTCTGTGTTGCACAAAATTGTGCATATTATAAGTTCAATGTATGCTAATATGTGAAAGAAGTTTTTTGAACATTATTTGTTGCGAGGAATGTCCTTATGGACTTAAGGTAGTAGTAGAATTTTAATATGTGAAAAAGTCAAAAGTCAAAGTCAAAGTCAAAATCAACAAAAGTCAAATTTTTAAATAAAGTCAAATTTCAAAGGAAATTAATAGAAATGTGTAAAGACGCAATAATAAGTTTAAAATTATTGTCATAATAAGAAAAAAATGACAGTAAGACGATATATGAAGTAAAGATGATAAATGACAAAACGTTAATAAAATTGTTTACACCAGCCTTCGTAAGGGAGGTTATTATGAATGAAACAATGAGTAAGTTGGTTTTGGGTGGCTACCACACTCCTCATTGGTTATGCGTGCAACGGTACAACAAGAATGGGGCCATAAGAAATAAAAATTGTGAAAAAGAACGATACAAGAAAGTTGTAAAGTGGTATGAAATAAAATAAAGAAAGCATAATACGATAAATGCTTTAAATATTTAGAAAATATGTTAGGATGTATGACATGAATGCATATATAGGTATGCATTATTATTTGCACTTATTGTGGCCAGTTGTTACTTGTTGAGCGAAACCTCATGTGAAATAGCTAGAGGACCCGTGAAGCTTAATGTTAAAAAGTAACCAAAATCAAAGTTGTAGGAAATTTCGTTTCAAACAACTTTTGTGAAATAACTTTTTTCTTAAAAACGATCCCAGACGTCAGTTTCGGGCTAATATTCGAAACATGTCCAAAATGGTGATTTTAGGCCCAAGTATGCTTGGGTTTGGTGCATATTGGTGATATAGGAGATGTTTCGGTCCAGATACCGAACATGAAAACCATAGATCTTTTTGAGGATAAGAAGCCCCGTGAAGAACGCTTTTCAAGAAACTGATGGTACAATATTCTCCCAAGGTCAACTGTAAGTAGGTGCAAAACATCGCAGTAAGAAACGAAAAATGGGACATTAAATAGGTTTATGAAATAAACATAAAACCTAGAGATTTTAGACACGACATGTGCACTTTATCAAAATAACATTTTCAGAACAACAAATTCGAGTCAAATTGTATTGTAACTACTTGTCTTAGATTGTAAATCTAACGATTGGGAATTTATATGATAGGATCAGTAACGATCAAAGCGGTAAAGTTTATGACAACTTGAAAGTTATGACCTTAGCGGAACTCCTATAAGTACTAGCAGTTCTTTTGTTTATGACATGAACAAGCTTATTTCTCTCTGTTGCACAAAATTGTGCATATTATAAGTTCAATGTATGCTAATATGAGAAGAAGTTTCTTGACATTATTTGTTGTGAG